AAGGCAGTTAGGAATCCTGTGTCAGGCTCCCATCTTCCAAATTATTTTGAAATAGTTGGTAGTTATTTTCTCCTCTTCCGTTTGACTTGGTTGGATAAGAACTTAAAACATGTCTTTAATCTTCATTTAGTGAGGTTTGGGAGGGAGAAAAGATAAAAACTGTGTGGTCAATTTACTGTGTTAAATTGGGACTCTGTTTTTTTGTCTTTTAAGATTCAGCATATATTTTTTAAACTAGTTGCTATATTTCTCTAAAACAGTGGTTTTCAAACTTTTGTGTGCATTATAATCACTTGGGCTTGTCTAAACGCAAACTCCCACTCTCAGATCGCCTGGTTTAGTAGTTATGGGACAGGCCTGAGAATTATTTTGAACAAGTTCTCAGGCAATGCTGCTGCTCCTTGTTTGGGGACCACACTTTGACAAATGCCAGTTCATAGAAATTGCCTTTTTGTTAAATTAGCTCTGGTTCTATTCTTTAATGTTCAGACATGTATGCCTACTGAACTCCTATTCATTCCTTTTGATTCACCTCACATACAGTTTGAGGAAGAATTTCTTGACATATAGAAAGCATATGCTTCCCCCAAGTAATGCCTCAGTTATCTGCATTTTATATCTACTTCTCTTGTGATACTAATTACATTGGACAAGGTACATGGCTGACTCATCTGGGATAAACTCTTTGCACATGTAGCACCTGTCTCAGTATTTATTTAGATTCTTCTTTCTCCTCCTTCATCTTTCCTTCTCTTCAACCTCCCATTCTCCTTCTTTCTCTTCTGCTCCTCTTTCCTCTTTATTTCTATTACCTAACTTTCTGCCTGACATACAGAAGCATGATGAATAGAATTGAAGTTTTGTTACTATGTGCAATACACTTATAATATATAAATTTGGAATGGTTTTCCTTAATAAGTTATCTTAATTTATTCAATAGTGCATCATGCAACCAATGGCAAATGCACTCTCAAAGTGAGGCATTTAGATTATAGAAGCTTTCCTCATAGTGACTGGTTTTTAAACTCTTCATTACCTGGCCCACAGAGTGATAAGAAGCTTACTTCAGAATGAAAGTCAATGGACTGCATACTTTATTGAAAAAATATTGTCATAAAAAAGTCTGCTAAACTAATGTGCTTAGTGCTTTAGTCTGCTTTCATTCTGGCATAAACTTCTCATCTTGCTGAGGACCAGTATGAAGCACTTTGCAGTTAGACACTGGTCTGCGGACTGAGCTTTTTTTTTTTTTTCTTAAGGATATAATTTACATACCACAAAATTTATCCTTTTAAAGTGATTTTCAATATTTTCACAAAGTTATGTGAAAATACTAATTCCAGATATCTAATTTCAGAGCCATCACCATTATCTAATTTCCGAACATGTCATCACCCCCAAAAGAAACTCTGTACACATTAGTAGTCACTCCCTATTCCCTCCTGGCCCCAGCCCCTCAAAACCACGAATTCGCTTTCTGTCTCTATGAATTTGGCTATTCTAGACCCTTTATATAAATGGATTCATAAGTCAATATGTGGCCCATTTTGTCTGATCTTTTTTACTTAGCATAAGGTTTTCAAGATTCACCCACATTGTAGCATATATCAGTACTTCATTCCTTTTTATTTATGGTTATGTAATAATCTGTTGTATAGATGTACCACATTTTGTTTTTCTGTTCCTCAATTGATGGACATTGAAGTTGTCTCCAGTTTTTGGCTATTATAAATAATGCTGCTATGAACATTTTTGTACAAATCTTTGTGTGGACATGTTTTCAATTCTCTTGGCCTAGCAGTGGAATCGTTAGGTCATATGGCAACTTTATGTTTGATGTTTGGAAGAACTACCAAGCTATTTTTCAAAGTGGCTGTATCACTACATTCTTACCAGCAATGTATGAAGATTCCAATTGTTCCATATCGTTGCCGACATTTGTTGTTGTCCCTTTAATTGTACTATTGCATCACAGTAAGTGTGAAGTATCATTTCATTATGGTTTTGAATGGAATTTCCCTTATGGTGAGTGATGTTGAGCCTCTTTTCATGTGATTATTCGCTTTTTATATAATTCTAAATGAAATGTCTATCTAAATAAATCGTTTTTGCATTTTTAAAAATCATTGAGTTGCAAGCATTCTTTATATATGCTGGATACTAATCTTTTCTCAGATATGTGATGTAAATATTTTATTCCTTTCTGTGAGTTTTCTTTCCACTTTCTTGATAGTATGCTGCCTGTACTATGGATACTATGCTCCATAGTTGTATAGGAATTTGAAACTGCCTGTTTCATACGCTATACAAACACGCAAAACTATAGAAAATACTCCAGGTGCAAATGTGCACTATATTTGTATGAAAGTATAAAATAATGAACTTTCAAGCACCCTTGCTTTGGGCTGGTGAGTTACAGCCTAAGCCATAATTGGAGCTTACAAATATTTATAATAGCAAAAATTCATTTTGTAACATGATAGCTGCCATGGGTAGTGATTCTTCTTTTCGTACACCTTTGTCTCCTCTTTCATTTGACTTGGTTGGATAAGTATATAGGCAAAGAAAATGGAAAACATTCTGGAAAGAATTCACTGTTCTAAATATTATTAAGAGCATTCATGATTCATGGGAGGAGGTCAAAGTAGCAACATTAAAAGAAGTTTGAAAGAAGTTGATTTTAACCCTCATGGATGACTTTGAGGGGTTCAGGATTTCAGTGGAGGAAGGAACTGCAAATGTAGTGGAAATAGCAAGATAATTAGAATTAGAAGTGGCATCCTAAGATGTGATTAAAATACTGCAATCTCATGATCAAACTAATTAATGAAGAGTTGCAACTTACGGATGAGCAATGAAAGTGATTTTTTTCAGATGGAAACTACCCCTGAAGAAGATACTTTGAACACTGTTGAAATGACAACAAAAGATTTAGATTATCACATAGCTTAGTTGATGAGGCAGCCACAGTGTCTGAGAGAATTGACTCCACTTGGGAAAGAAGTTGTACTGTGAGGAAAACACTGTCAAACATCATTGCATGCTACAGAAAAATCTTTTGGGAAATAGGGTCAATCAATGAGGCAAGCTTTGTTGTTGTCTTAAGAAATGTCCACAGTCACCCCAACCTATAGCAATCACCACTCTGATCAGTCAGCTGCCACTAACATTGAGGCAAGAGCCTCCACCAGCAAGAGGATTATGACTTGCTGAAGGCTCAGTTAATTGTTATTTTTGAAACAGATTCTCACTCTGTTGCCAGGCTGGAGTGCAGTGGCATGATCTCGGCTCACTGCAACCTTTGCCTCCTGGGTTCAAGTGGTACTCACGCCTCGGCCTCCCGAGTAGCTGGGATTACAGACATGCATCACCACACCCAACTAATTGCAACACAGTATTTTTAAATTAAAGTATGTACCTGTGTTTTTTTTAGACATAATGCTGTTGCACACTTAATAGTCTATAGTATACTGTAAATATAATTTTTATATGTACTGGGAAACCAAAAATTCATGGGATTCACTGTATTGGGATATTCATATTATTGTGGTGGTCTAGAATTGAACTTGCAGTATCTCTAAGGTATGTCTATTAAAGGAAACTCAAACAATTCAATAGCAAGAAAACAAATTACCCAATTTTATAAAATGGGCAAAGGACCTGAATACACATTTTCCCAAGAAGACATAAAAATGTCCAACAGGGGTATGAAAAGGTACTCAATATCACTCATCATTAGATAAATTCAAATTACAACCACAATGAGATATCACCTCACACCCATTAGAATGACTATTATCAAAAAGGTAAAATATAACAAATATTGGAGAGGATATGGAAAAAGCCTTTGCACATTGTTGGTGCAAAGGTAAATTAGTATAACCATTATGGAAAAGTGTATGAAGGTTCCTCAAAAAGTTAAAAATAGAACTACCATGTGGTCCAGTAATCCCACTTTCGGGTATATAGCCAGAATAATTTAAAGCAAGATTTCAAAGCGATATTTGAACATCCATATTTATTGCAGCATTATGTACAATAGCCAACAGGTAGATACAATCCAAATGTTCATTAACAGATTAATGGATAAAGAAAATTTATATACACACAGTGGAATATTATAAAGCCTTAAAAAGGAGGAAATAATGTTATATGCTACAATATGGATGAACCTCAAGGATATTATGCTAAGCAAAATAAGCCAGTCATAAAAGAACAAATACTCTATGATTCTATTCATATGAAGTATCTAAAATAGTGAACACAGAAACAGAAAATAGAATGGTGGTTGCCAAGGGCTGGGAGGAAGGTAGAGGGAGAATTAGTATTTATGGATATACAGTTTCAGTTTGCAAGATAAAAAAGTTCTTGAGATCTGTTGCACAATAATATGAATATACTTAACAGTAATGAACTATGCACTTAAAAATGGTTAAGAATATAAAGTTACATATTTTTTACCCCATATACCCAAAAAAGCATTAGCTGTGCAAAGTAAAGTTTCTAAAAACAAGTGTGTGTGGGCTAATCTTCCAATTCTGTTCTAATAAACACATATAATTCCAGATCTGGTCATTCCATTATTACTCACATCTGATTGGTAAGTCTTTATGACCAATGAGTATTGAAGTGCTGAGAAATTATATATATATCACTAGCCATATGTGTTGTATGAAGAATTTATTTTCCATAAAAATGAGAGAGAGAAAGAAAACTTTGGATTTGGAGGGGCAAAATTTAGTGGCAGATTAAACCAAATGGAGAATGATTATTCATATCTTGGTGCGACAATCTTAGTTGGTTCCTGGATGAATTTCATTCTATTTTGCCTGACATCAAGATTTCAATGTGCATGGCTTATTAGTGTTTGTGGGCATTTATATAATGGCAATTTATTACACTTTCAGTGACAGAAGCTGTCCTTTAAAGAATTGCTTTCTGACCTCCTCCTCTTTCAACCTACAACACCTGCTGAATGAAGTGGCCTGTTCTCTTTTCCTGTCCCCATATAGACACTGGAAGTTTTTGTGTGCAGGAGAGCAAGACTGCAATGCTTTAGCTGGAAGGTTATTGTATCATCCACTTGTTGAATTGCCATGGATCAACAGTTTCTCAATTAGAAGAAGACAAACGAGAAGATAAAGTATTTGGTAACTGTAAAGTTTTAAGTAGGAGCTCAGGAAGATTTTGAGAACATCTGGTCAGAATGTATTTCTTTTTAGGTAAGCATCCTCTTTTACAACCAGCAGACATAAAGCATTAAATTGGCTTACCCCACCCCTTCCTAACAAGAGAGAAGCTGGTTAGATTTATCACTTCTTTGATGCAGGTCTGGAGGGAGAGTGAAGTGGCATATGGCATTCCCACTGAAGGACCCCCTGAAAACCTTTAGATAGAATGTTTAGATCCTTTTAGATAGAATGTTTGTCTGCAATTTCTAACTCCTTTTTAAGAATCTGTCTAGGTTGAGATTGTGAAAGATCATTCACAAAAATAAAACTCAATTGATAATGTTTCCGGATTTTCCCTGCAATATTTATGTCCAAGTAAGGGATGTCATCAACACAAAACTTTTTTTTTCTTCTCTTAATTTTTAAAATTGGTCCTTTGTGTACCTGGCTCATGCTCTTGCTTGGTTAAATTTAAAATTTCTTTTTCTTTGACAATAAAAATTATTTGTCTGTGTCTGCCTTCATTTTGTGTGTTCATAACAACCACCAAACACCAAATTGCATTGTTCTTTTAATGTGGAAAATTATAGCTAAAACGTTTCATAATACATTGTTGTTTAAGAATAGCATACCCAAGCAATCAAACCAAATAACCAGTTATTTCAAAATTGTATGAATATACTGCAGAAGGAGAGTTGATTTCATATCAGTGTTTTCAAGTTCATGGCAATATTTTAAGCACTTATGTTAGAAGAGTATATTTCATTTAATGATGTTGCTTACATGACATTGTGTTCATATGATTATCCATGCTAGAATAATTTGAAATAAATCTCACTTTATGAGATATAGACTAATCATATTTACCCTGTAGCATCCTAAGTGCTTTCAATGTTCATCTATAGTAAAAATGTGTTTTGAAACTAATGCACATAGAACAAAAATTTTCTAATTTATGATTTTCAGTGTGCTTAGTTACTTCCCACATGCCTAAGCTATTCTTTATTAAACAACTATGCAATCAGATGATTTACATACATTCTTGAATTTCCATTATTTTTAGCTTTTAAAATAGTTCTGAATATTGGCTGTGGCTTACGTAAAATTTAGCCTTGTAATAAATGTGATCTATCCTTTATGCAAGAGTTTCAGTGATACTATGAAAGAGCATATTTAGAAACTTTTTACATTTCAGGACGGAATGAGATTGGTTGAAGATACATCCGAGCAGAGTTAAAACTAGTTGAGAAGCAAATAAAAGCTTAGCAAGTCACAGGAAATTTCAGAGTACCATTAATCTTAACTCTTATCTTTAGGTATGCTATACATTTTTATTAAAATAATTAATATGCAACTGTATTAAAACAATCTGGAGTCTTAACATTCCATCCAAAAGACAAATGAAAAATTGAATCAATAGAGAGGATTTTTTTTTTTTTAACGTATAGTTATACTCAGATGGGGAGAAAAACACACCCACCTTATAGAGTTAGTACACTCGGTTCAGAAGTCACCATTTTTGTGCATTATCCAGTTTCTTTTCCACAGAGCCTTGCCTGCCTTCGTTATTTCACCGTCCATTAGCATCTCACTAGAAGAGGGAAGAAAAGAAGAGGAGGTGAAATTAAGCAATCAACTTTGTTACTTGTTAACAAAAGGTGGCAAAGAGTTTAAGTACCAGTTACAAGTAAGAGTTAAAAATCTATTTTTAAATAGTCAGTGTGTTTTAGCAGCCTATGCTGGGCCTGTTAATATCAGAACTAATTAGAGTTAGCCAAGTTACAATGCATCTCTACAGTAGATATCAACACTGTCCCCAAGTCCACTGTCTCTGGGGTTAGAGAAGGCCTGGTTGATGTACATCTGGTATTTAGAACGAGAAGTCAGAATGAATCTTTTTTAAAAATAAATAAGGGGGGTTAAGTAATGATTTCTATTGTGGAAATAACTCAAAAATTATGTTTGTTAAATATATTTGTCAGAAGATAAAGATGCCTAGTTATGTACTTGTACTTATGGCTTTTTCACTTTACTAAAATTCAATTTTAAAACAAGTAAAAATACAGATATATCTCAGAGAAATAGAAAATACTATAGGGTGGCATGAATTCCAAACTCTGAGACTCAAGGAGAGCAAAGTCACAGAATGCTGAAGAATTCAGGAGTAGTTTGGTTCTAGCTCACCTCTATCTTATCTTTTTTTTTTTTTTTCTTTTCAGAGAAACAACAACAGTTTTCTTCTCAATCCCTTCTGTAAAAGCCCAGTTGGGCCGGGCGCGGTGGCACATGCCTGTAATACCAGCACTTTGGGAGCCGAAGCGGACGGATCACGAGGTAAGGAAATCCAGGCTATGCTGGACAACATGGTGAAACTCCGTCTCTACTAAAAATACAAAAAATCAGCTGGGTGGGGTGGCGTGCACCTGCAGTCCCAGGTATTCGGGAGGCTGAGAATCGCTTCAACCCAGGAGGCGGAAGTGGCAGTGAGCCTGGATCGCGCCATTGCACTCCAGCCTGGGAGACAGACCCTGACTCCGTCTCAATAAATAAATAAATAAATAAATAAAGCAAGCTCAATTGCTTCTTCGGTCATAGAAAACCAGGA